TCGAGCATATCTTCCTCAGAGATATTCTCACCACATAATTTCATAAGGGAGGTGATCCTGTGCATAGATGAGTTTTATTCAGACACTGTCTTGAAATCCTGAAATATCAAGTGTGTCCATTCGTATCTAGCTCTTGGGAGAGTCACCGTCTTCTGATGATTATATCTCTCACATAAAGCTTTCCATAGGACCAATGGTTCATCAACTATCACATATTCGCTTTTCAGCGCTTCATGAATGTGGCGGCGAAGGAAAATCATGGCCTTCGCATTTTCCTCAGGTGATGCATCACTTCCATCTTCAATTGCTTTTCCAAGGCCATTAGCACACAGATGGATCTTGGCATCCAGGACCCATGATAGGTAGTTGTCACCAGAAATGTCTAGGGCAGCGAATTCCAATTTTGCCAAATTTGCCATCTTCAAAAGAAAAATGAGATGCATTAGAATTCGCAATAATCTTCAAGCTTAATATATTTTTGAACTTCAGGTCAAAAGATATCATGCATATTTTACCCAAAATTTCAAGCTCGAGATCTGGGACATTAAGCCATTTATTAATAGGAACTTCTGGCCCTGTAATTGTTTGAGGAACTCCAGGTCCTCATTTTGATTATAAAAATAAAGTGCTATAAATTTGCTGGTATGGACGATAAACCCGCACCATACTTTAAATGAAAGTAAATGTGCGATAAAATAAATTCATAAAGTAAATTGTTTGCTGTATGGACGTTAATCCCGCACCATACTTTAAATAAAAGTAAATGTGCGGTAAAGTAAACGTGCTGGTATGGGCACTCATAGTAAATGTGGGGATAAAACCACCACTAAAAATATTTATACCATACAGTAAATAAAATAAGTGTGGGGATAAAACCACCACTAAAAATATAGAAAGTGAAAACCGTCCATAGTAAATGTGGGGATAAAACCACCACTAAAAATATATTATATTTTGTGGGCAATATAACTGCACCACTGTTCAAGATATAATAGATGGGTTTTAAGATCACACCATCATTTTATTATGATAACTTGTGTTACAACGCGATGGGTAATGAAAATTACACCACCATAAAATAACAGAATGGGGTATAAAACCGCGCCATTCCAAATTATATTACAAAAAAATAAATTAAACAAACATGGATGAAACAATACAAAAATTGTGAGAGCACAAAAAAGAAAGTTTGCATGTCGTCGTAGTAGTATAGTGAGAGGAGACATATGACGGAGAGGAGAAAGAGAAATAACCACATAGTGTTGAGCTGAGAAAATTTAAAGGTGGAGAGACTGTCGTGCTGATAACGTGTTATAAAATAAAATAATCAGAGAATAGGAAGTACCACTAAATATTGGGAGTGGAATTATATTTGCTCTTTGTGGTGTTTACACTAATATAGTTTCTCTTCAGAATAGACTTCACTCTCTCTTTTCTTTTCTTGCTCTCACTCTCTTTTATTCTCATTCGTGTGTGTTTACAAGCAGATATAATGCCTATTTATAGGCAAAGCAAATGGCTCTTAAGGGAGACATAATGATTTCTTTCCAACATTATAATTTTATCTTTTGACTAATACCCCCTCGCTTTATTTATGTGGACTTCACTTTTTACTTTATAACAGCATTCCTTTTCTTTCCTTTTTTAGATTATTATAAATAAACTCAATTCTAGACATGTATTTATAAAAAAACCCACGCACTATTTAAACATAGAAACACACCCAAAATCAACCCCAAAATCAACAATTGTATATTTTTTGGTTGTGTTTATAAATGGGTTTTGAGTGTGTGTAATGATGGATTTTGGGTGTGTTTATAAAGTGTTTTGGGTGTTGGGTTTTTTTTTAATTTCAGCCCCCATTTTGGGTGTTTTAGTGAAACTTCCTTCTTTTTTTTCGAAGTTGTTGCATTCCTTTTAAATTTATTTTAAAATTAAAAAAAATAATGGGTAGTTGTGTTACTTTAAAATAGGATCCATTATCTGATTTTTCTTTTAATTTTAATTTTTTTTTAATATAAAAAAGTGTGAATTTGCCATATTATCCTCATTTAATTAATAATTTCAATTATTATTATTTGCATTGACCAAGGGCATTTTTTGGTATTTTGAATGTTTCACCATTCTTTGCCTTTTGTTTTATATATATGGATACTATGTCTTGCATTTTCGTCCTCAAATCCCAATAATAGTTATAGTCGTCCTTCAATTAGGTTGCACGTGTTGCAATAATGGCCATTTTTCATCAATTCTATTTAGTTTTTCATTAAATTCAAGGATATATTTGAAAATTTCTCATAACTTATAAAAATAAATAAAATAAAGTTTAAAAAAAATGAGGGTTGAGGACAACCTGCCCATCACCAAAATACCAAAAGCTATAACACTAGTCGCTCTCATTTTCTTTTGGTTAGCCTCATTTGTTTTTTGAATCTTGATACACACAAAATGTGAGGTACCACAACCCAACTTTATCCATTCAAAGCATGAAAATAAACCCATTTTAGAAAGAAAAAAAATGTTTGTATGTTCCTCTCACGTAGGACCACGTGTCACTTTTTTTTTAGGACATTTTCTAAGGAGAGGGACAATAACATACTAAACTCTCACACACTGCACATATGCTAAGATTCGAACGGAGAACCTTTTCTGAGGGAGCAATTGCTCCCAACCACTACACTAGTGAGACCACATGTCACTTAAATTTGAAAAAATTGAAAAACACCCTAGAAATTATTGTGAATTACGTACATTGTCTTCGATTATAAATATCTAACCAATGCGTGCAAAAATGTTTATCAATAACTCCGTTAATAATTCGTTAATAACTTGTAAACAGTTTATCAATAACGTATCAAGGGCTTGTTTGGTAGGGAGGACTAGACTAGACTAGAAAAATGCCTACATTTCATGTGCATTGAAAGCTTATTATGTTGCCTAACTTGGAGGAAGAATGGAGATATAAGAGGTTGATGACCAAAACTTATCCCTCATAACAAACGAGCCAATAGTTTATTAATAGTCCATGCTATTTGTATATACCTCAAACTTCATGTGGTCAACAAATGAAATACAAGTGTTTTTACTTGAATGAAGAGGAGATTTGGTTCCTTGATTGTATGATGCTTATGTTGGAATAAGAGTAAAAACGTGAGTAATCATCTATGTATTTGATAAGTCTTTTTTCTTTGTACTTGAAAACAGTCACACTTTTTACATAAATTCAAGCCCTATTTATAAGAAGTTTCACAAGATATTCTTCAAGCTGGTCACCTCGACTCGGAGCTGAGCCATTTATGTCACATCAAGGCTTCTTGTTAGGTGGTGGATGATCGGGGTTCTTCCACATCCTCTTATCATGATGACTTTACGTGTTTTACTAAGGAACATGAGTGAGCAGAGTAGCCTATTACGAATAGCCGGAGTCCCATCTAGTCAAGGGACGGGTTAGGTGGTTTACATGTGGTATTATAGAGGACAGGGGGTGGTATTTCGAGAGGCGGTGAATCCTTCTTTGTCAAGGGAAGTCTTGTCTTCAACGTGGCTAACTAGTAGCCTTTCATCATGTTTTCCTAGATAGTACGGAGGTCGAGGTGGTATGGTGGAGAATCGAGCCGACGTGCGTAGTTGGCAGTTAGAGAGGACTGGGTGGTCACTTTTGCCACGTGATTGCGAGGTCCATGTGTTATGTTCTCATTGGGCAAATGGGCTCGGTTTATACCGAGTGTCAACCCCAACTCTCTAAGCAAGTCTCCTGGGGTGGGAAGTTGCTTTTGCCCTTTGGGTCTGCCTAAGGAGATTTTTCCGTGCCTAAGCTGTTTGGTCCGAGGGGTTCGAGCAGTCGATCTTGATGTGAAGGGTTGGGTCGAGTAGTCCCCCAACTCCCCAGGGAAGGAGTACTTTACTGTGAAAATCCTTATTCTTAAAAATTTTAATATTTTATTACTTTGGTATGTATTAAATTATAATTATAATTGTTGTACTTTTATAAAAAAAAATTAAATAATAATAATAATAATAATAATAATAATAAAATATAGTATTATAGTCATTTTATGGAAGTCTATGTTTTATTGCTTCAACATGAGAGTTCTTTTTAAACTCCACGTAGTCAACATGTGTCAAACAATTATGGTTTACTTGCTTATTCACTTGCAAACTAATTATGTGTCATTGAATTAGATAGTTGAAGTCATCACTACGTGTCTTCACTATATATCTTCTTATCCTTCTATTGATTTGGAGTGAAGGAAAGGTTACTTAAGGAGGTGATCCTAAAAGCATTGAAGTTATCTTTTGGCATGCCGCCCTAGTGTTTACTATAAATAGGGGTCATTGCCTTTAATTTTGAAAACACATAACGTTGCATAGTCCATGCAAAGAGGAGAAAAATAAAGAGAGAGAGAGAGAGAGAGAGAGAGAGAGAGAGAGAGAGAGAGAGAGAGA